TCGAAACTTTTTTTGGCCAAGACGGAGGGTGGCGCGTGGCTAGATGAGGCTGGCGTAGTTTTTGTGGCGCTCGATGAACCGTGGACCTGCAAGACTACGTACAGATGAAATCCACACTGTGGATCAAGAATCCCATGCTCTTTGGAGATGATTGTCAACCAGGTGAAGACCAAATTCACGTGCTGGTAGTGGCTCTGCTACGTGCAGTGGAGTATGAAGTTCAATTGAAAATGTGGAAGTCAGTTGTCAGAATTTCTTCAGAAGTTGAGTGTTCAGGAACAGCAGTGGTTGTGGATCAAACGTCGACGCACTTGTATCTGCTGACGAACTTGTACATGTGGGTCGACGAAACATTCACTGATCATTTGAGTGCTGAATTCAGAAATGAAGTCAATCGGTATCTGAGATGTTACCCCCAAATGAAAACATGTTATGGACGCCGATGCTGCAAAGCAACCACGTCTTCACGGACGGCAGCGATGAAATTGTTGTCTATATTAGATAACCTCAAGTTGTGGTGGAGCAGCTCTTTCCCGATCTGACAAAGCTGATGGAAGTTCACCGATTCAGTCTTGACAGTGACACATACTGGTTTAGTTCGGCACGTTCGACTTCGCAATCTTTAACGTTGCTTTGCCACGAAATAACAAGCTCATACCATATGAGAAATCCGTTGGGGTATGTTGCACGATGAACGTTGACGTGTTTGGATTCCCTGGCGTTCAAGAAGATCAAGGATTGATTATGCTTCCGCCATCATTCCAGCTATGATTACCAGTTGGAGTGGAAACTAAATTATTGTCTGCCCCTGGTCTTTCTGGGAGCGCGATTGTGTGCGCCAAAACGGGAGTACCAGCGGGTTATCTTGGTGGTGGACTTGATGGCTCAGTAAAGAACGAACATAATAAATCCTATGGCTACACATTTCATGGAGTAGTCCCCAAATTGCCGTGTTCGTTTCCGCGATCAATCCACAGTTCTAAAGGATGAGCTCGAGTGCGTCGACGTTTGATCCACAACCACTGCTGTTCCTGAACACTCAAATTCTAAGGAATTCTGACAACATTTGCAATCTAACTTGAAGATCCACGGGAGGCAAGTCCATCAGCATCCATGTGCCATCCTCCACGGCACGTACCGGAACCATTACCAGCTCGTGGACATGGTCTTTACGTGGTTGAAAATCATCACGGAATTTTTGA